ATGTTTGCAACGTTTCTCCGTGTAAGGGATCATTTTTACGTTTCCTGGAGTTGTGCTTGAAGGCATTGGTGAGGATGTCCTATGTCATGCAACAAGCTATTTATAGTTTGACCTCAAAGAGGCCATGAGCCAAATACAAAAGCGTGTGTGGGGAGGGTCTGCACATTATGGCACTTTAGACATTTATTGCTTGCTCATTGAAGTGGAAAGGTAATATGTGATAATATTAAACTACAAAACAGCTTATGTAGGTAGAAATGTAATATATCCTGTCACTAAATTACTGTCACAAAACTGCTTAAAAACATTTAGGATTGAAAATAATGTTTTTGTGAGCTTTTATATGTAATACAAAATTCAATCCAGTTCTGCATTGTTTCAGTTTTCTTCTCAATACTGAGATCTTATTTCATATGTGACAGATTAACAGCTAACAGAAGTTGAAAATGGGAAAAAACAACGTGTTTTAAAATCCAAAGTGATTATAAAAGCTTTTATATTCTCACAGGACAGGTAATTGAGGCATTTTCCATCAATTTTAGTAGCTCCTCTTAAAAATATATAACAGTCAAATTCAAGATTTATAATGCACCTGAAAACAATGTACTCAGATGACATGGACTAAATGAGCATGGGAGGTGAAGAGGAGTCTACCTCTAAATGCTTTATCAAATAAATTCCATAAAATATAAGCCCATTTTCATAGTATAAACAATGCAGAGGAGCAGTGCTTAAAGCTGAATCTGGAATTAGCAAATACAGTCTAAATACAAGAGCCATGACTGTGGTTACATACCAAGGTCATCAACATTGTTGTCAATGTAGGGACAAAAATTGATTCCAAAGTTGTCACAGTCCATGCACTTTTAAAGGTTGTAGAAAAAAACATACATTTCAGTGCAGTGGCATAACTAGAACCTTCAGGTCCCCAGTGCAAGAAACCATAAAGGGCCCCCCTGCCCCCAGTCGGGGCCCTTCCCTCCAAGCCCAGTGGCAGAATGTCAGGGCCCAGTTGCAAATGCAACCTTTGTGACCCTGGTAGTTCTGCCACTGGTGGCAGTGTTTTGGGGTTTTTTTTATTATTATTTTTTACAATTTTTTTAGGAGCCCGTTGGGGGGTGTAGGTGAGATATCAGGGATCTAAAATCAGATCTCTATGATCTCTCTCTCCCAGGCCTCTACTCACTGTGTCCCTTTGTACATGGATGCTTTCTCCCAGTACCAGCCAGATTCTGCACAATGAGCCTTAAGGCCAGATCTTCCACAGACTTTTTCCCAACTGTTCTCACAGTTTCAGTGATAGCATTCCACCCCCCCCCCCCCCCCCAGCTCTCCCTGTGCTGGGACCTCAATGAACTTCCTTCAGTCTTCAGCTAAGTAGTCCAGGAGGGCAGTCCACCTGGACAGATATACTGAATGAGGAATGTGTTTGCACTGGATGTGTTTGCTGTCACCTGGACAGATACCCTGCTGTTCTAGGCCTCAAACTATTCTTGCACACCTCAGCTCCCTGCTGGTCACTCTCATGACCAGGAATGAGGTTGCACGAATATTCGGCCCAGGGTCTGCCTATTCCAACCCACTATGTTCCAGAACTTACCAGAATAAAGAGGAAAGTAGTTGAACCTGCAACCAGCAGAACCCAGAACACCCAAAAAAGCAATCAAAAAATTTAAACTTACCTAGTCCTTTTAGCAACCTAACTAAGAGGGTGCTACGTGATGTTACAGTTTAATAGAGGATCTGTTGTATCTCTTTAGGAGCCCCTAATTTCTCGAAACAGCCACCACAACCCCCAAGAGACCCTGATTCTACGGTTTTAGAGGTTTGGTCCATCTGCGCCAAATACAACAATGATCATCAGGGCTTATGCAGGGCAGAGTGGAATATAGGGCTGCTGGGGTATCAGATGGGAAATGCTGATCTTGTGGGCCCAGTACAGCTTCCCCATGTTTATAGTGGTTAAATGGACTCTGCCTAGATTTTAAATACAGGTCTGCAGCAGCTGCAGGAGCTGTTGAAGAAAAGTAGTGCTGGGGGGGGGGGGGGGGCCTTAGTGGAGGGCTATTTCTAAATATATTCCAGTAATCACAGATGAACCACAGATTTTTCCTGTTCTTCAGCATCACAGTATGTGATAATGAGCACTTCCATCACCTAAAGGGTTAGTGCACTAAGAAACTGCCTGTGCAGATAAGGGGTGCCTGTGGATGAAGCCACACATAGCAGCTTTGACCAAAATTAAAGTATAACTAAATGTAGCACTACCCTCTTAAGGGGCGTTGGATTTCTTTTGGGTCTCCCTAAGCTAGTATATGGGATGCCCAAGGAACTGTAAAATTGTGGACAAACTCCTTAGCAACCTTTACACTGTAGAAAAAGATGTGGATCCAGAAAAAATAGAGCACTGTCTCTTCAGAGAGCTCTAAGCCCCCTTGGTTTACCTCCTCAGACCCCAGATTAATCATCCACTTCCCCCGGCCGCACTGAGGGTGTCCCTAGGCAAGTGATTCCAAGATCTAGCAATTAAGTATTTCCAGATGAGAACTAGTTGGGTCTTGCACTTGACTGCCCCCTCTCCCTTTATCTGGCCCAGGGGGTGTAGGAGTGCTCACACTATCCTGTCCTGTCAGCATGGTGGGTTGGTAGCTGCTTTCAGACCTTTCACTGGGCTGGCTCCTATCCTGCTGCTCATGATGTCCTCCCTAAGAGACGGTGGAGCAGTGAAGATCCTCCTGTCCAGCAACCAGCCTGTAGGTAGGCTCTCCTCCCTGGGACCCCATCCCAGGCTCCACACTCCAACCTTCCTCTCAATCCATCTTCCACTTAACATTACACACCCCTCCCCAAGCTCTGCCACATTTGAGGGTTGTCCTGGCCACCATGCCCAGCCTCCTGCCAGGAGATTGCCCAAGGTCCCTCAGACATGCAGATCTGAGCCTTATCACCTCTTCCAACCCTCTTCCGGAAAGTACTCTAAGCTTCTGGAAGGGTGGAATGGTTCCAGAATCCCTGACCTGCAGAGCCCAGCCTGTCCTGAAGTGAACTCACTACCTCACTCCTAGGCTAATACCCAGTCTCTAACTAAAAACAGCAAACCTAGCTAACTAGAGTGCACTTCATAAAGAAACTTTTTTGTTTTGTTTTTGTTTTGGATAGAGTGCAGGGGGATTAGAATACATGTTAGTTTTTATTGCTTTCTGTGTCTTTTAAAGAGATTCAACCTCCTCCCTATTTGTCCTGCTTACCATTATAATGGAAAGTGAAAGTAAAAGAAAATCCCACATTTTGAGTTGTCCCCAGAAAATTAATAGAGGGTAAATCTTTCAATGAGGACACTAATTCTGGTGACCTGGGGATCCCCAAATAATTCTCTTAATTTGCAGGGATTTATTTTTACTTCCTGTTAAGCTATGGGACAGGATATACTGTAAAGAGAAATCTCCACAATGGGACGAAGAGGATGAAAAAAAATCAGAAAGGGGTTATAACCCTCTCTTTCTCTATCCTAAATGAACAAAATAAAAATGTTGTCTATAGTTCAACTTTAAATAACGCCTTTATTAAAAACATAATCCATTTACATACCTCCCAAACCTGGCCAAAACACCTAGAGATGGCATCATCCCATCTAAATCTTACACGGCTATAGAAAGCTATGTTGGAATCTGCTGGAATCTGTCATATTGCATGTTTTTAGTCAGTCAGATATAGCCACTCAGCGACTGTCCTAGGGCTTTCGCTAGATGGGCAGTTTTCAGCCTCATAAACCACAGGACTAAAAATGATTCTCAGTTGAGAGAATATTACAACAAACATTCCCAAAAGGTCATTTAACATTTATAAAAATGAATGAGTGTGATTAATTGCTGGAATCTGCAATCAGCTGTAGGCATGTTTTAGGCACGTGCTTCATGTGCCTGAATATCGTCCATGTAGGTTTTAGTGAGGGTGTTAAATAAAACAATTCAAACCTGCACCCTGATTGGTTATGCTTAGTCTATATAATCTGGTACAGAATACACAATAAACAAAAACAGACATTCAAATCACATGTATGATGTCATCACACATCGGGGCTTCCTGTTTAGGATCACCCTTACCACAATGGAAGTAGATCTGGAGAAGATAGCCCCTGGTGTTCATACAGCACTCCAAGATGTAAAATCAATATTGCTCAAGAGCGCAGTGAGCGCACAGTATGAAAACACATGTGAATTGCATTTAGCTGAGGATTAGGAACTTGTCTGATGGCAGCTGCTTCTGCTCACAGATCACTGTTGTGGATCTTAATGTAATGTTGACGTCAGCACAGTCCGGCTTTGATGAACGGGCTGTCAAAGATGGCATGTCAGCTGCCTCTTTTCACATTTCAAACCTGATTTTGAAAATATTATTAAATAAAACTCTTTTCACCACTGCCTGTGGGTTATAAATCAGTAATGTTCTGTCAGGTTCTTTTGTATAATCTGTTTAGAGAAAAGCTAATTTCAGTACTACAAAAATAGTCCTAGTCAGGTTTTAAAATGGAATTCCAGCCAAAGCTCTTTCTTTTGGTTTTCGGAGTTGGGAAATGTATTCTCATTAAGCACTGAACTGGGTGAAACATGTTGGGGGGATGGTTTTGGCCAGGAGTGAGCATTGTGCTGTCATTGTAATAAACCTTTGTTGAAAATTTAAAGTCTTCAGTGTGCAGCCCAGTGTTTGGTTGGTGGGTGGTAGTGGAGAAAGAGTGGACTCCAGGGCCTTGGCACCTGACTGATTTCAGGGTTTTTTTTTTTACATTTTTATTTTATTTTTTTATATTATTATTATTATTTTTTTTTTTTTTACATACTGTCACCCTAGCAGTACAGTGTCACCATGGTGACACTGCACTACTTGTGGGGGGTGATGAAGATTTTTTTTTTTTTTTTACCCTGATTGCTTTTACACCCATATAGGATGTAAAAGCAATCATTTCTCTTTCTCTCTGTCTGCATTCTTGCAGTCATTGAGAAGTACTGAGTGAGCTGTGATTGGTCACAGCTTGTCACATGGTACAAGGCTGTTGTGAATAGCCTGTCGTACCATGTGACCTATGTGATCATTCACAGATTTCACATGTAGTAAGCAATGATGTCACAAGTAACATCTTGCTTACTACTTTGCATGTGATCACTGATTGGCCAATCAGTGATCACATGATCGAGGACACAGTGGGCACCGGATCGCGGTGCTGCGCGCTCCCAGGGAGCGCGCACAGCTAGAAAAGGCGGGTGCCGTTTATGAACGGCAACCCGACCCTGAACTGCCACCGCCCTGTCTTTTTTAAACAGCAGGCGGATGGCAAGTGGTTAAAGGATAAGTTCACTTGCAGGTAAAAAAAATTTGCATTTACTATTTTTTTTTTTGAGCCTGGAAAGCATAGCACAGCTAATCAGCAGATTGCTGTTGCCATGCAGGACTCCTACAAACTTGTCAGTGTATCTGTGTGCCCGTACATCCCATACGGGCATGCAGACACAGCCTGACAGGAAGACTCAATAAACTTCCACAGCGCTCAACAGAACCGTGGTAGCTCATCGAGAGCTACAAGCCAACAGCCGCCAAGCCTATCAGGACTTGTAGTTCATTCATTCACAGAACTCTGTGAAAGAATATCGCAGCTGTGGTGGTGGAGCTCCATGTAGGTGTGCTGTTTTCAAAAAGTGACAGCTAGTACGGGAAACTTCTGCCCATACTGCTTTCACAGGAAGAGGGGGAGGATCGGGCAATGGCTGCAGCAGTGGGAACATGTTACATGTTCCACTCTAAAAATGGATGGAACATGTAACATATTCCCAAATGTGAACTTATCCTTTAAAAGTTCCTCTCCAAATTGAATCACAAAGAAGATGAATAGCATTACAATAAGACAATATAATGATTCTGCTGGAATGTAATCAAGCAAAGACAATCTCAAAGGAACTAATAGCCTAATAGATCCTAAGTACACAACATTTGTTTTCTTTTTGTTTTTTGGGGTTTTTTTTTTTTTTTGCTGTCTGTGTTCCTCTGATTTCCTCTTCTTCCTGTCCCAGTTGGTACAAGTAGAAATGAAGGGAAATGTTCCCAGTAAGGACATAAAGGCTTTAGTATTATGATAGTAGCTGTAGAACCTAATTCTGGATCAGGACTTTCTCCCCCTTAACCACTGCATCCTTAAAATAAAAAATAAACTGTATATTTACTTTTTTGTCCGGTTGCCCTAAGTCCAGTCCAATAATGTTGCATGTCCTCTTTCACCTCTTCTTCCTCTAATGCTGAGCAAATCTGAAACACTGAAGATAGTGGCGTGGCGCCCCTCTTTGAAGCATTTCTGTGACTTTAGGGGAGGTAACTTTGAAGCCCTGGTTCATGGGAACCTGGAAGAGGAGAGAAGCTGGATCCATGAGTCTGTGGAGGACAGCACTAGACATCATGTGAGTATAAAAGTAGGATCTGAATTTGACTTTTTTGAACAAGCTGCACTTGTGTTTTTACCCGTTCCCACTTTCCAAGTGCTCTATATCTTTTTGTGTCACTGTTGGAGACATTTCTGTTCACTTTCAGTCTTATAGTATTGTGGAGGATGTCATGTCTTTTTCCTGTGCCGAAGATACCATGTCCTCGTGGCTCTGAGGCTTACAGACCAGTAGTTTTTACCTCCCACATCATGAAGACCTTGAAGAGACTTGTTTTACATCAGTTTTGGACACGGTTAGTACATAGACCTATTACAGTTTGCCTACCAGTCTGGACTAAGAGTTGAGGGCACTACCATCTTCCTGCTAAACTGCATGAATGCACACCTGGATAAAGCATTGTGAGTACTGTGAGGGTCATGTTTTTTTACTTTCCAAGCAATTTTGATATCATCAGGCCGGCTCTCCTAGGTAAGAAGCTAATAGCAATGCAGGTTGATGTCTCCCTTGTCTCCTGAATTGTTGACTACCTAACTGGAAGACCACAGTATGTGTGTTTGCAAGACTGTGTGTCAGACAGAGTGATCAGCAATACTGAGCCTCACAGGGGACAGTTCTCCCCCTTTCCTTCTGCTGTCCATACCATTGAATTCAACTACGAGACAAGAGTCTTGCCATCTTCAGAAGTTTTCTGATGACTGTGCAGTGGACAATCATCTGCATTTAAATGTGATTAAGACAAATAAGTTGGTTCTGGTTTTGAGAAGGATGAAGGCATCATTGACCCTTGTTTCAATCTGAGGAGTTGTTGTGGATGTAGAAGAGAATTATAAATACTTGAGGGTGCATATACTGTAGATAATAAACTAGACTGGAGTAAGAATACTGAAGCACTCTAAAAGAAGGGCCAGAGCTACCTCTATTTTGTGAAGAGGCTCAGCTCTTTCAATGTCTGTTGGACAATGATGAAGATGTTTTATGAGTCAGTGGTGGCAAGTGCTTTCCTGTATGCAGTGGCTTGCTGAGGAAGCTGGCTTAGAGTGGCCGACACCAACAGATTCAATAAACAGATCTGCAAGACCAGTGATGTTGTTGGATTGGAGTTGGCATCTTTAACAACAGTATCAGAGAAGAGGATGCTTTCCAAGGTATGTTTTATCTTGGCCAATTTCGTCCACCCACTCCACAATACGCTGGTCAGTCTAAGGAGTACCTTCAGTAATAGATTGTTACAACCACACTGCATCACACAGTGCCACAGGAAATAATTTCTGCCTGTGGCCATTAAATTATACAGTTCCTCTTTGAGAGTGTTGAATGCATGGGCACTAATCTGGACTTCGACCCAGATTGTAAAGTCATTAGTCAAGTAATTTCCTTAATATAATACTTACAGTTAGAGGTGAAATATTTGTATTTCTGTAGTCTGACATTTTTTGTTACTTGTTTAATTGCTGTTTTTATTTATGTTATATGTTATTTTGTTTTATTGTAGTCCATGGTTATTGTATACATTAATTTGTGTTATTATATTTTTCTATATTTGTTTGCTATTGTGGCTATATACAGTATTTTTTTTTGTGATTTGTAATTTTTGTTTTTGTTTGTTTCATAACCATAACTTCATGATTTCCCTGTTGGGATTTGTAACGTAAACTGTATATTTCTCCAAACGTATACAAGAATTTTTAGGAGTGGGCTTGTGAGCAGGGGGTAAAGGGCCTCTCAGCATGCTTCCGGTGGATACCAAGAAGTTTAGTAGGGTGACACCAAAAGCTCTACCCTGGGGTGAGTTCTTTTGGGCTACTCTAGGCACCAAGAAAGGGAGTCACATGCTCTGAAACTTAGAGATGGCCAAACACCATGAATACTGAGAAAATAAACTGGACTCCAGTTAACTCTCTGGTCCCTCGTCAATGCACACCTTGACTGTAACTGCTTGCAATTAAAAGGGACATGCTGTGCCTATGACAACTCCACACGTCAAGTGTATCTCTGTCACCCCATTCCAGTGACAGAATGGGGTTCCACCATGCACCTAGAGGAGAGCTCATGTGTGCACTTAGTTAACTTTTCCAGTTGGTGGCCAGCCCGATAACCTCTGCATCTGCTCCTGTTGCTATGGGAGACAAACCCGCTCGGGGAGGGATTCCTAGAATCAACCCCCTCTCTGCTACAGGACACCCCACATATCACCGGTACCTTGCTTCATGACAGGCTACTTGTACTTGTTACTAGACTTCTGTTACCCATGGTAACTGCTTGCTTTAATTCTTTACCATGTTAACTCTTGCAGGAACTGTATTCATACCCCAATGTGCTTTAACTGATCTGAACTGTAGAAGACTGTGAGTAATGTGCCAGTTATTTTCGCACACCCTTTTGAATAACTTCAGATGAGGCAGAATAATGTTTCAAAGCTTTACTGCAAAACTTCGGTGCAACAGTTCCATAGCAAAGAACCTTTTTCTTACTGAACCTAACTGTATTTGTGGCTACCCCAGCATACCTGTACAGGATTAGAGTCCATGATGGTGATATAGATGCTGATGGTGTCTTCAGGGTGGACTGCAGATCCCAGCAGTCCCTCTCACTGATGGCTTACTCAGGCTAAGCAAGGCTCTCTGGGATCAGGACTCCTAACCCTTTTATAATTGCACAGGATCGATGGGTCGGGCCCAAAAAGCCCTGAAAATCAGACAGGGAATGGCAGCAAATGCACCAGCCCCTTCCCTTCCAAGCTTGACAGCCACACTAGCTCACTTACAGTAGGCAACCTACCTACAGGCTGTTTTTAATATATAAAATCTAAAATACCAAATCACTAGTACCAGAAATAAAGTACATAGCGGACTTTTAAGGTAAGCACACGTCACAATGTGTAAAATCAAACCATGACTTTTATTAATATTCTATTAAAAAGTATTTAAAAATGTTATCACTCACAATAACATTTTCTATCCTAACAAGCCCGGTACGAATCTGTATCCCCCTCCAGCACCCTTTAGCTGTCTGATATTCATAGTTTAACTTTGATGGACCTACAACTCTCCGTCAGTATTTTGTTAGATCTGCTGATGCAGCTGTGGAATAGAGATTTTATCTCGACATTTTTCTTGGAAATTATACTGCTTCTTCAGGAGCATAGTATGGACTAATTTTTCATGCTTATGATCTTTACCAGAATAAATTCCTGATGCTTTTTTTCTTGATACAAACCCTCTGTAATCCTCTGTACCACAGCATGCAAACTGTGGAAGGGAAGGTCTGCACAAAATAGTCTTTATTTGTTTTGCATAGTGTTGTCAGAATAAAGTTGGTCACACACATTCAGATTCCTATATCCATGCTATACAGCGCACATGGACAAATCTCCCACTACTGTATTTTAACAGTCGACTCCGAACAACAGCTACACCTGTCTGTATGAAGTCGCGGTACGAGTAACAGTTGCTGTCCAGCTCATTCAGTTGTTCATTTGAAGGATGATGGGCAGGAGAGTGGTGACAGGGCTTCCAAGTCTGTGGCAGCGTACTAGCGGAGTGCTGTGACAGCACCTACAGATGATGTCACCAACTGACAGGACCAGACAGAGGACAATCTGTAATGTAACTTTGATTTGGGTACATATTAAATAACAGACATTTGTGATCCAGGTCCTTGTGAAACTTGATGACTTTTCCTATGGTGCTTAAAGTGATGGAACTACTGTACTCTCCATGACTAATGTATAGGGGAATGTATTGGACCTTCATGTAATCCTATAGGATCTTCATCCTCAAATCCATGGCTGACTTAACATGCTGGGTACTCTACTTTTATGCTCCTGCATGTGGCCCTAGTGG